TTCTCAGTCTGAGCATGTGTGAAAAAAGACTGCAGTACCGGAAATAAGCGAGCTACAAAACACTTTTGGAGCGACGCTGAAACCGACTACATGCTTGATGAAATGAGGGATTTAAATATTCTTCGTCTTCTAGATGATGTATGTTCATATTTTCAGGTAAAGCGGTGCTATATTTAAAACAGCCGCGGTGTGAAGTTTGAGTTTTACATTACTTTTCCCACCGTCGTCTTCTGTGAGTTTATTGGCTGGTTGCAAAGCAGAAATCTGATTACTGTCTGACTCATCTAGACCTGGAGTTTCCCCACTATCTGATTACTCAAGTGCATGTAAACGTGTTGATCGGATTACTGACAAAATCTGTTTTTCAGTTTTTGGATTATTAAGTGCAGGTAAACTCTCTCAATGTTTTGAGCCTGTTAATAAAAGTGTTTCCTTACTTTTTAACTAATTGACAAGACTTTAACGATCGGAATCGGATTTTAAGACCAGGATTGAGATCCTCTCTCCTCGTGGATCAGGCCCTGACCGGTTTGGAACATATCTCCATGTGCTAGTTGGTTATTTCTCCCATAATCCAGCACTGTTTACCCGATATCGTTACAGTTTACATGAGCAGATGTGGTGCGCGGTCCACTTTCAGCAGAAAGGAAACTTCTTGAGCTTTATTCGCTCCGGAGCAGTGGAGCGGCGGAAAACCCCGCAGTGTTTACACATGAGTCACTGCACACGCACAGAGAGACGCCTGTGAGTGAAGATCGCCGCCGCATTTGTTGTGTGAAACTCAACCTGTTGTGCCGTCGGCCGTGATGATAACAGATCCTGCCCAGTGACGGACACTGACAGGACGTCTGGCTGTTTGAGCCCATCTAGTCTTGGCTCTGATCCTTAAAAGCCTGGTGTTATTATTTAGTTTGAGTTTCATTACAGTTGTGTGGAAAAGTTTGGGCACCCCTGGTCAAATTCTATGTTGCTGTTGATTTTATAAGTGTAAATAAGGAACACATCCTCTACAGAGACACACTTCTGCACACTTTAATGCACAATTATTGCTTATTTGCTGAATTTAACCAAAGAAACTTGAAACCTAAGGCTCATTTTATGTTTTATGTATTTTTTTATATTTGTAATATGTTAAAGTTAGCAAACAAAACGTAATTGTGCACTAAAAACGGCAGGAAAATGCCATATTTAGGTGTAGAGGGTGTGTTAAATAAAAAAAAAAACTTGTTTATGGTAGCAAAGGCACATTTTATTGGGGGAACGGGGGTCTAGTGATGCCCCCTGCCCCGTGGGGCAGACGTGGGCTGGAGGTTAGGGAACCAGCCTTGTGACCGGAAGGTCGACGATTCGATCCCCTGAGCCGACAGTACGTCACTGAAGTGCCCTTGAGCAAAACCTAACCCCGACCTGCTCCCCGGGCGCTGTGGATAGGGCTGCCCACCACCCTGGGCAAGTGTGCTCACTGCCCCCTAGTGTGTGTGTTTCACTAGTGTGTATGTGGTGTTTCACTGCACGGATGGGTTAAATGTGGAGGTGAAATTTCCTAAGTGACTAATAAGGGTCACTTAATCTTAATAGTAATCTATAGAACAAGAGAAAAAAGGGCAGCGCAGTGCACGTCACGTTTTTCAGCCTTCAGAAGAAACGCAGTTTCACGATGTTCAGGAATGGAGTCTGAATGAGGGAAGAACATTCTAGAAGAGTGCCAGACGTCTCATGCGCCTAGCTTTCGAGATTCTTGGTCTTGGTTTGGCATTGTTGGGTTGGTGTTACTTTAGGCCGAGCGCAAATGAAGCTTAGCGCCGTTAGCATTTGCGCTTAGCATTAAGGCTTGCGTGAGGCCATTAGCGATGCAAAATCGGTGAAGCTAGCTCTGCGGCTAAGTGCTTTTTTCATCAGCCGAGTGATCTGCGATGTGTATTATGTGGCCTTGAGTGGGGTCCTGGCTTGGTACGCTCCGTGTGTGTGTGTGTGTGTGTGTGTGTGTGTGTGTGAGAGAGTGAGTGAGTGGGATCCTGGCTCGGCACTAGCATAAACGGTAAAGCTAATCCCAGCCAGGTCTTCTCCTCTTTCCTCCCCTCACAGACCTGTCGGCGAAACGCGACACCGGCTGGATTTGGGAATGAGACGAGGACGAGGGAGGGGGGCTTATCTGATACTTTCCAAAAAAAGCCCCCCCCCCTCTCCACCTCACGCACACACATTAGCTGCCCCCCCCTCCCAACACGTACCGACCGTTTTGAGGCGGCACATCTGGTAACACTGTAGGGGCATTGTCCTTTTTGGGCTTTGGTTGAAGGAGTCGAGTTGCCTCAATATTTCCTCAAGGATCCGATTACTCAGAGGGCACAGAGAGAGAGTGAGCGAGAGAGAGAGAGGGAGAGAGAGAGAGAGAGAGAGGAGGATAGTTAGAGAGTGAGAGAAAGTTGGAGAGAAACAGAGCCATGTAACTGAATATGAAATATGAAAAAAGGGGGAAAAAAACGAATGTCTGGACTTAATGAAGCGGCACATGATCCATTCCGCTTTCCCCCGTCGTTCGGAGACGTGCGCCTCAACAGACGAGTCTTTCAGGAGAGGAGGGGAAAAAAAGAGGAGTGATAGAGCGAGTGAGGGAGAAGTGCGGGGCTAGCAGAAGTCAGCAAGAGATGCAGGAAAGATGGAGTGACCCAGAGACTCGGGCTGTCCGCGCGAAAGTGCAGCTGTTGAGTGATTTAGCACGCGAGTGGGTTTGAGCAGTGCCCCCTACAGGAGTGGGTCAGCTAGTACATCTGTACTCACTCTGTGTCCAGTGCTGAGCCTCGAGAGTCCACTTGGGGAAAGCTTCACAGACGTCATTTGGGGGCATTTTTTACTTGCTGTGATTCTATTTCTTGCTTTAGTTGCTGCTTCAATTTTTCAGTTTTTGCAGAGAAAAATGCAAAAACATTCAGAAGTTTGGAATCACCGTGGTCAGAAATATAACCTGTTGATGACACGTGTGCAAGTTGAGTCTAATAATGAAGAAATGAAGAAATGTTTGATGGTGAACAGCAGAGCTGTAGATGGTTCCGTAATAGAATCGCGAATGTACATATAATGAAAATAAAAGGCCTACATTCCACATTATTTATTATATTTCTTTCACAGATGTCCATGTCTCACAGTTGAGTTTTTGTTACTGTGCCTTTAAGACTGATAGATGTTAAAGAGCTCTGCTCTGATTGACATATATATGTGTGTATATATATAAATATGTATCGCTGCTGTCGGACCAAAACCTCGTATCTCCAAAATGGTAACTTTACAGGGAAAGGAAAAAACATACTTTACTTTTAATGTAAGTCAATGGAACCAGAATTTTTTCCAAGTCATTTTGGGTCGTTTCTTTTGGTCAATTCTTCATGAAATGTACACACAATGTAAAGAGCAACAGGCATTTTCAAAATATGTCAAACTGAAAAATGACAAAAATGGAAATATGAGGTTTTCTTCCGACAGCAGCAATGTGTGTGTGTGTGTATATGTATATATGTGTATATATATATATATATATATATATATATATATATATATATATATATTCCAACACATTAAACTATGCAGCTTTCTTTACATGTAGAACCTGAATGGTATGTTTTAAAACTTTTAACAATTTTTTTCATGCTATGTCAAACTTTTTTTGTTATTTCAGAAAAGTGCGGAACATTCAGTTTTCTGTGATACGGCCCTTTAATGTCCAGAATACCTCATATTTGAAAAGCTATAAAGTAGATAATTACAGTTTACTTAACATTTACAGTTTTTTCACTTCTTTTATTCAGTTCTTCTATTTTCTACTTAATTTTTAACTTCTTGTTGTTCCTAAAATACTTAAATACTTAAATTGTGAATAAACCATTAGTTTATATTCTTGTATCTACAGCATTTCAGTCTACACCGGGGGTGTCCAGTCTTATCCGCATAAGGCTGGTGTGGCTGCAGGTTTTCACTCCAAACAAGCTGGAGCTCACCTGATTCCACTTCTTTAATCAGTTGGTCGGTCTTCAAATGACTGATCATGTGACCTCCTGCTTGGTTGGAATGAAAACCTGCAGCCACACCGGCCCTTTGCGGATAAGCTTGGACACCCCTGATCTAAGTCTAAGTTATTTTTAAATAACAGTGAATCATATGACTATTGAAGTTTAATGCTTAACATGTTAAGTTGTTTCAAACTGTCAAATATAATGTGCTCATTCTTCTACTTTCTTCTTTCATTTAATTTTTTTTCCTGTTCCACTTTTTTTTATGTACGATTTATGTTGTTTTATGTACCGAAAACTCGCATAATTCATCTTAAAATGAATTTTTTTAACCTTTTTTTGTCTTTTGTGTTAAACAGGCTGTGTTGTTACTGAGCCTTTAATACTGTTATATGTAAATGAGCTCTGTTCTGAGCTCTCTTCTGATTGGCTGCCCTGTATTGTGCCTCATTTTAAAAAGCACTCAGAACTGAAACACTCCTTATAACTTGAGTGTGAATAGGTGGAGTTAAAGTGCTGTAAGATGAGTGGGTGGTTATATAAATGTGACCTCACAAAATGCTGAATTTAAAATGTGCTGGTTTCTGTATATCGACTGGGAAGTGGAGGCACATTTTGAAGCTTACATACTGCGTCAGATCGTTTCACTTAAAATAAGTGAGCAACATTCAGTTTTCTTTGACGTGGATCTTTGAAAAAACATTTCGGTTCGGCTTTCGGTTCGTCCTGGCTTTGAGCGTGTGCGCGTGTGTCCGTCTGCCAGATGTCAGAAGCCTCATTAACTTCTCAACTCTCTGGACACTGAAGTATTTTGACTATCCATCTGCTTAATAAAGGAGTATTGGTCACTCTATCTCCCCCCACTGATTCATGCAAATCTCAGCTGACCCTAGCTGGCTCTGAACCTGCCCCATGCTAACATTAGCCCAGGCCGTCTGGACCGCGCTGCGCTGACGTCACCCTGAGGCTCTAAACCGCACCTGTGTTGTGTTTTAGGTGGTGGAGCTGATCTCCAGCGCCATTGGAGACCTGGTGCAGGGCGTCTACCACGAAAACTCCAGCTCCATTGAGGTAAGAACATGAGCAGCCTGCTGCAGTTACAGCTCCTCACCAGCAGGAGGGCACTTTTGTCAAAAGGATCATTCAGGAAAAAATAAATAACAGTGTTTCCCCCTTTTACTCCAGATATAGGTGATCAGTTAAGACATGTTTACTTCTTTAGCTTTGCTCTGGAGCAGAGGTCTTAAATTACCTGGGCTGTTAGCCAGGTGGTCTTTTCTAAGAGGGGCCTAGGTGAAAAAATGCAAGGAAAAAAGTGTCCCATATCTGAACTGCGCAACAGATTTATACACCTAAGCATAGTATTTAAGGCTATTTATCTTGGAGAAAAGTGTTTGTGCTTATGAAAATACCATATATCATTAGAACAGCGGTCGCAACCCGAATGTTAAGAAGAGCCATTTTGTCCTTTCACTGAAAATCAAACCACCTTGGAAGCCACAAAATTTTATGTCCATTTTACCATCTTGGCTGTAAATATGTCTCAGTATGTGCTGATGGACCAGTATAGGCTAAAAAAATATAATATAAACAGAAACGCAGACTCACTTTGCTCTGCTTGAAGCTTTAGCTTAGCTATAACTGATTTTCTCGCATCTCTGGCAGGAAACTTTTTCGCAAAAGTAGAACAGTTTCTTGTAAAATGTCTCTCAACGTTTGATTTTTTACGAGACTGAAGTCGCTTTTCAATCACCAACTTCTTGTTTGAATCCCATTCCTCCTAAAATAATGCAGCAATTCAGAATGTAACTGCTGCGTTATTTAAGGTGGAACAGGAGAATTCGAATAAGAAGTGGACGAGTTAATAACTGACTTCAGCTTCACGACTTTTTAGTGTTTCAGTTTCTCGGTGCAGATTAAACGTATCAGGAAACCAGCTGGAGTGATTATAAACACATAAGTCCATTCGTCTCCAAATTATCGATGTTCATCTTAAATCTGTCTCTTTGCCGTTTCGTTAGCTACTAGCTAGGCGAGATTGTTGTCTGCGTTGCTATGGTGACCAGCAGTCTGCGCTGATCTTCAGGGTTAAAGGCTGAATTAGCAGTTCTACATTAACTCCAGAGTTTAAGACCATTTATAGTTAAACTGTGTTGAACGATCAGCAGAGCTTTATTTTACTGTAAAGGAGGATTATTTTATTTATACCTACTAATCTGATTCTGCTGTGGAGCCACAACAGGGCAGTAAAAGAGCCGCGTGTGGCTCCGGAGACGATGTGTTACCGACCCTTGCCTTAAAACAAATGCAAATAAACAGAAATACAGTGAAAAGTACAGAGAGTTTCTACTGTTTAAAGAAGTAGCTGATGTCTTGTGAGCTAGTTTGGTTCCAGATTTCTACTGGACGCCCATCACATGGATTTAATCAGTTACATCAGCAGCACCTGATTCAGTTTTGTGAAGCGCTGAATACAGTTAATAGTGGGTTTCCTCAAAGAGAAGTTCATAAATAGTTAAGTGAATGTTAGCATAGCATAAAATCACTGTGTGTTAATTTCCATTCGTTCTATATCACTGGTGCTCAAAGCAGAGTGAAGGTTGCTCACCTCGTTAGAACACTTGACCCTGCTTTTAAAGATGCGAGGCCGTAACCTTGGTCAGATAGAGGTCAGTGACACCCACACATCTGTAGGTAAACACCCTTCTCACATTACACGTGTGCGTGAATGAGATGCTCCACATCACAGCAGTGGATGGATGCCGTCTCCTTTTTCAGTCCGCAGCCACGAACTGAAGAGCCGAAGTCGGCCAGACAAACAGCCTGGAGTTTTGGTCAATAAATAATGGTTAAAATTTTAAATGATTAAAAAATGTTTCTTGTTATGTATCGTGAGCAGACACGACAGAGACCAGCCTACGGTTTTGGTTCCTCCAGGACGGGACGGGGCAGAGCTTGCCTTTGTACTGTATTGAATAAAATGAGATATTACAGTTAATTACCAAGTTATTGTGTAATAACAATGGTGTAAGAAGCGTATTTGAAAGACTTCCAGATCTAGCTATCTTCTGTTTTCACCTGATTTCCTTAAAAGTAAAAAAGGTAACTTGCTTTTGTTGTAGCTGACCCCTGTTATTAGTTATTAATGATTATTAGTGATAGTGATTAGATATGTAAGCTAATTCATTTACTTTGGTCACTGTCCAACCACAAACCTGCAGCACTCCCTCTGTGTGTTTATGGAAAATTAAATGCTAGCTAACTTTAGCCTGTGTACTGCTCATCAGGATATGATTGTGTTAGTCGTGTTTCCATGGAAACGGACCACTAAGCCCCCTCCCAACGATGGATTGAGGAGTGGGACGTTAGCTGCCGTCCCTACTTTCAAACTCAGATTGATGAAAAATGGCAGTTTGCACTTCATGCAGATGTTTGTTCAGTATAAGTCTGTGTACTATTAGGGCTGGGACAGTAGGAGATTTTGGAAAATTGTCAAATTAGCGATCGCTTTCATTCTTTAAAACCACAGCTGTTTTACAATAACGTACAGTCGTGTGCAAAAGTTTCGGCGCCCCTGATGTTACGCTTAACTTAGCAACTCTAAGGCCCAATCCCATTTCACCCCTTGCCCCTACCACTTAGTCCCTTAGCCCTCTGTTTTGCGCGTTCATGTCTAGGGGCAGGGTGTCCCAATTCTTGTTGAGATTTTTTTTCTTGTTGCTCTTATTTTTGAGAGACACACTCCAAACAGAGTGATATGAGAAAAACGAAAAACTGGCAAGATGGAGCACAAGAGACCAAAGAAACCCACGAATGTGAGAATTTTCTGTGTTGAAAAATTACAGTAACCACTGTATTATCTTAGTTTAATGTCGTTTCAGTGTATTTTGGTCATTTTCTTCATAACAAGCATAAAAAATTGCTCATAGCATACTAATGTCTTGGTAGCTAGCTAGCTAACTTTCCCGTTCCACCTTAAATAGTCCAGCAGTTCTGACGGCTGAAGGACCAGAATGTAACTTCTGCACCATTTAATGTGGAACAGGAAAATTCAAACAAGAAGCTGGTGAATATCTGACTTCAGCTTCACATCACTGAAAAATTAGGGGTGGGTGATAAATAATTGCCCCCCTCTTTGAAGGCATATGATCCCTAAATGTAACTAAAGCCCAGCAGTGAGGAGCTGAACTTTACCCTCCTCTGCTGTCACTGCAGACTGGCAGGGTCGCCTACAGAGCAGCACTAGTAGCCTGATAATGAAGTAATTATTATTTTTTTTATTTGAGGGTCCCATTTTGTAGGGCAAGATTTCAACCACTACCCCTTGGAGTTCAACTAACTGTTCAACCAACAGCCAGCCAACATGGGACCCCCGAATACTGGGGGGTATTTCACACACTGCCTGAAGGCCCTAATAATGAAAGTTAAAGGACAGAGTGAAAAGCTCAATATGAAAAAGGTTATGACGACAAGAAAGACCACTAACTTTACCAACTCTGGAGAAGATGTAGAAGTGGTGGACAGCTTTTACCTACTCAGATCAGTTATTAAAAACAGAGGATTCAACAGTGAAGATATATGACACAGGTTGGCACTCAGAATAACAAGGATGTAGGAGCTTGAAAAAATCTTCAAATGCAACAATTTGTCCAGGCTGTGGTCTTCACTGTGGTTCTTTATGGATGTAAAAACTGGACAGTCAACAAGTGAGACAGGAAAAGTGTTGATACATTTTCTTTGGTTTTGCTGAAGACTTTTGAGAGAATCTTGGACGGCAAAGAAAATAAACAAATGGATCCACAACAAAGTCGAGCCTCACCTCTCACTCGTAGGTAAAAGAGGACGACGACCAGCTACAAGATGGATGGAAACATCAAAGGAGTCTTAAACCAGCCTTTCAGAAGCCTGAAGACCCAAACAGGAGACCGGACATTCAAGAGAACCACTACCCTTAAGGTCGCCAGGAGTCGGCATCGATTTGACGGCCTTAATAATAATAATAATCATCTGCCACGATGTGTTTGTGGCATGTTTGTCAATGTTTTGAAGTAAACTGTTATCGCAGTGTTGCAGTTTTCGGTCATATTGCCCGCCCCTAATGGCCGGCGAGAGAGAGAGGGAAATGGAGAGAGATGCTTTGGGGTCATGTTTCTCTTCACCCCTTTTAGCAGAGAGGATTCCGAGCAGAGGAACGCATCACTTTTCCTTCTCAAAGGCGGCTCCGGTTACACTCTTTCCCCTGGTCCAGTCCCAGCTTGCTGCTTTGTGCATTTATTCCCCCTCTCAGCTGAAGGTAACAGGTATTAATCGTGGAGGAAGTCTAGAACTTTCTGTCCCTCGGTCCCCTGATCCTCTCAGTTTCAGCTTATTTTGGAGAGAACGTCTCAGTTTCCCAAAGTTTGATACTTTTTGGGGGGTGATTTTGTGTTCTCTCTCATTGACTTTGAAACTGAGGTACATCGTGAGCAGTTGGAGGATTTTCACTCAGGTCTGAGGTCGTTTGACCATTCGGAGGTCGCGTCGGTGTAAATTAGCCCTCAGGTTTCAGGTGCTGACCTCGGATCAGGTCGTAAGTGTTGACTGTAACCAGAGCCATGAACGGTTAGTGGCTGTTAGTTAAAGGCCTCATTAACGGCTCAGGATCAAGTAGTGCTCTCGTGAAGCAAAGAAACACTTCCATTATTGAGAACAGTGTTTTTTTTTATTAAAAAGAAAAGAATGGACTTTTTCATGCACTTTTGTGAGTGATTGACCTAATACTACACATTTAGATTATTTTTCCCTGTTTTTATTGTGTTTTGCTGGAAGTGGTGGGTATAAATCATGTCGTGCTGGACATCACACTGCTAATCATTACTCTTTCTCTTTGCAATTCTTTTTCTCCTTTTTTTAAAGGAAGGAAATCTGTCTGTTGCTTTGTGGGAGGACCAGACGTTTCTTTCCCATGGTGCACTGTTGGCGAAGAGTTGCCAGGCAGCGATGGAGCTGGCCAGGCATAACACTGAGGCCCAAACGCTGGCCTACCAATACGGAAAACACCTCGCTCTCGGACACAAGGTAACACATACAGGGTTCAACGTTGGCTTTTTTCCCCAACCTGTCCGATCGGGCAAGTGGACCAAAGGTCCTGATTTTTGCCTTTAAAAAAACTTTTTAAGTATAAATAAACACACACACATTTCCTCAGGCAGCAGATTTGTTCATAATGCTGTGCTTTTCTGTTAAAACTGATATTAGCAGCATCACTGAGTCAGGAGAGAAAAATCAGGTTAAAACATGGTGCCAGTCCGTTGTAATAAAGGCTGAAATAATCATTTAAAAGTCAGAGTTTTCCAGTAGATGGAACTTAACACCACTTACGCGATGCGTGTTAAAATGCTCCTGGCAAAATACACCGGTGTTTTGTGAGAAGGCAGTGGTGAGTGGATAATACCAGTTGGAATTCTTCCTAAGGTATTAATTTAACCAGTTTGCCGCAGTTAAACCAGATAACAAAACATGCCAACAGTACAAAACGCACGGGAGCCCCTCAGCTGATCGGCTGAGTGATGCTTCTTTCAGTAAATCCTCATCTCCCGCTGTGTATCAGTTACAGTCTGAGTTAATGTTAGTCCAGATTGTTATTGAGGAAGCAAACATTAGCGATATATGGAAGGAGCCTCTCATAGCCTTGGTTTAGCCTTTAGCATAGCAGCCTGCTAGCTGGGCTAGTGTGTCCACTGCAGTGAACCTCAGTTGGTCAGCTGTATCAGAAGCTACGTGGTCTCGCGGCCTGATGGCTTCAACCAAGCTGAGGAATCTGCTGAAACCAGCTGCTGCTGACAGCGTGACTGACTGTAATATTTACTAAACTCCAGCAGAGTCTGATTTCATTTGTTAAATATGATTACTAATTATATAAAATTAGCAGGTAAAGAGCTGAAAACTGCAATAAAAACAGCCCATTAATGGTCAATTTTAAACATTTATAAGATCAGACCTCGGAAAATCCTGAGGCTGAATCTCAAACGGCTCACTGCTCCCTGTATAGTCACTATGTGAATTCTGAAATTTTGGCTTTTCCACCCACGCTGTGTGTCCAGTATGAATTGTGCTCACATGGCTGAATCCAGAGTGGTCGTCTGTTAGACTCACTGAGCTCTGTTCAGATGCAGTAGCCGTTACTTTAAGACCTGCGTGCTGCACTTTGTAGGGAGAAGGGAGCCGTTTGATATTCTGCCTAAAACGGCGTCACCTGACCTGAATACTGCGCCCTGATTCGCGGAATGGATTTATCGGGTTCTGCTGGAGAACGGCACTAGTGTTTGACCGCTTCTGCTGTAAAACCTGAGCTTGCAATGCCTGGACAATGGACGATAACGGCTTTTGTGACAAAACATATTTAGGGTCCAGAATGCACTGTGTGTTAAGAATAACTCACCACAGTCATATATATGAACGCTTATATATGAATGTATGTATATCCATTTTTGTTTTTTGATTTTTTTTTTTTATATGAGGACTTAGTACCGGTATTGGTATTGGGAAAAAGTTGTATCAGTGCATCCCTACAACAAATATCGCTATATGCTAGATTAACTCACTGCACAGCTGGGTTACACCGTTTTCCTGTGGAAAGGCTGTGTTTGGATATAAAAGCCAATGAAGACAATTTTAAGTACATGTGTTACTGAGTGGTGTGTCTCAGAAAACATCACAGTGTCATCTTTCCCAACCAGGCGAGTGATTTTCAACTCAGCCGTCCTGATTTAGCTTCTTACTCGCCCCGTCATTGCGGTTGAACCCTGATGTAGTACTTCGCTAATCTAAAGCTGCATGGTGTTGATAAAGTGAACTACTCTCCTGATCTCTGTGCTGTTTCTTTTCCTGTGTATCCATTTTCTCACAAGCCTGGGCCTCTTTGAGCTCCCTGATAAATTCTGTCGAGAACATGAGCGCTAGACTAATAAAAAAACTGTTTTAGGGTGGAAGAATAAAGTCCGGAGTAAAACTAAAGCAGAGGGAAATGCAGGGAGATCTGAGTGAGCTTGATTTTGAAAATTGACAGCTGTGGACTGACTTCTGTGTGTCTTTGTGTGTGTTGTAGCTGAATTCAGACCTGCAGCCGTTTCTGAAGAGCGGTTCTGACCCGACTGTGTTCAGTCTGGACTCGGCTCCTGTAGTGTTTCACCGGCTGATCGTCGGGCCTGAGCGATGGCTCCTCCAGTTACAGCAGGTACAACACCACTTTCCTTAAATCACCTCTTATTAAAACTAGGAATGCATCCATACAGTGTTTTCAGACTGAGTATGAGTAAAGTATGTAAACATACCTAAACAAGCAAATCATTAATCTAGTTGATGTTAAATGATGGGCATTAGCTATGCTACATTAGTTAGCTTGAATCGAGTAGCAGTGTGGTGGAAAAAAGCGGGTTTTGCTAAACATCAGAAAAGCAGTTCTGAAGCTGTGAGTAAAGTATGTTTCATAGTTTTGATCACACTGTATATACACTGTACTGATTGACATGGTGCGTAAAGTGCTGCCCCTACAGACAGCACTGTCTGCAGACGAATATCAATAAAGCTGTTTCGTTCAAAATGACACGCTGCGCACCGAGTACTGAGCAAACACTCTGAGAAACTGAGCTACCGCAGCACTAACTTGTGTCACTTTTTGCACTGAAGCTAAAACCAGGCGGTGATGTACACAGTAGGACAATACGGTCTCTCTACAGTGTGTTTTACAAAGATAGTTTTAAAATATCAGCATATTAACGTTCATACCTCGCAATTCTATTCATTCAAACAGAGTAAAGTTGACATATACAGACTTTGGTAGCAAGTGTCAACTTTTTCACCTCCGTTTTGCTAGCCTACGTGTCTCCACCTGTATTGGGGAACTGATTGTGTGTGTTTAAAATGGGCTAAAATAGCACAGATTATGCCTGGTGGGGTAATGCCAAGGCTGAATGTTTGGCACGTGAGCAGAGACCACTCTCACTGCCAGCTTGGGTTGTTTGTTCATTAGCAGCGTACGCTGGGCTTACGTCACCAGTATCACATGGTATCTGATGTTGGTATTGGTGCATTTTTTACAAATATGAATGCAAGTAATTTAGCACGGTATCGGGCCGATGGCCAGTATCGGTATCGGTAACGATGCATCCCTAATTAAAACTTAATAACAGTCCCAAACATACAGCTGCCCAGATGTACAGACACACTGCTGTTGCACACAATTCCAGACTACTGTGGCATCACACGTAGATTGAAATACAGCACATCTCATACGCAGACAGACTGATCAGATATATAACCTTTTGAATATTAATACAGACAGTTAAAGCAATACCCCAGCTTTTTTCAATTCTCTGCCACATCTGTATCACATGGGTTGAGGCTGTTTCTATAACCTTTTATCCAACTTTACAACACAGTAAAAAAGAGTATTTCCGGTTACTTTCCCAGATGTTTTCTGGTTTCCATGGCAATCAGGTGGAGCCTGTGAAAGCTCCACTCAAACCACTACGGTGGTAACGAAACACCACAAATTCTGCCTTCTCAAAACTAATCCCATTGAATCTGTAATGAATTACACAGATTTACGGCTTAACTTACAAACACTGAAGAATCCACAAATACAGGCTTTGCATAAACATTTGCTGACAAAATTCAGCAGCTTCCTGTTGGTTTCTATTGTAAGTGTTTTTTGCTCTTTTCTCAGTACAAGGAAATGTGCTGAAAGTATCTGTGGTAATCTAACATGCTCTACTGATAGTACAGATGGAGAGTAGATTGAAAAGCATTAGAATTTCTCATTAATGGTACAAGAATCTAAAACAACATGATTTTACAGGAGAATTCCACTGATTTTTCAAAAATTCTGCAAAATTCAGTCATTCAGAGTGGTTTGGTGTGAAATGGTTCAGGTTTCTTTACAGTGGTGGTGATAGGAACCAGGGGTCGCCATGACTACAACACAAATATAGACATTTTATTTACTATCCAAAACCTCCAGTGAACCTACACGAGTCTTCTGAGTTTATATGGAATGTTGATGATGGCCTTGTGTAAAATTGTGTTTTAGTCCAAAACCTTATCAAAAACAGCATAACACAGTGTCTCAGTCATCAGGCAGTGAATTCATTACCACTTCATGTAATGACTGTCTGTGAAAAAGCTTTTAGAGGTGGACGTCTGGTTCCTATCACCACCACTGTGAACAGTTCTGACTCTAGTTTCTCTAGAACAGAGCGTTTCACACCAAACCACTCTGTTTATGTTTTAATGCAAAAAATAAAAATTGGTGAATTTCCATTTTAGGTTTATTAGATTTGTGGCACCTCTTGCAAAATGAGTGCTGGAGCCCATTTTAGAGCAATATTTTTGTTTAATTAATATTAGAGTTTGCATGTTTTGATATAAAGTAATGTCAAAAGAGACAAGTCGACCAAAAAGTTTTTTTTTCTGCCCGAATGCTTTTAATTGTTACACAGTCAATATTTAATGGAATGAAATATTAAATGTAACTTTAATTTGGTCCAGCTTTACCCCAGGGCAAGAACACAAAATCACACTGAGATTGGAGTTTAGTAAAGACACTGGTTCAGTAGCACAGACTGACTCTGATTCTCTGCTCTTCTCTACAGAGCCAGAATACGACAAAACAGACTGATTACTCAAAGGTGAGTGACTTCACATATTTACAGATCTAGTCATCCATAAACATGAGTCATCAATATTATATAATCAGATCCGTTAACCCTTAATTATACAATAGTTAGTTCCAGCCATGCAAGCTGATTGGTTGAGAAGAGCTCTAACCACACTGTTATTTCACCATAACAGTGTATCACTCTGCTGAGACGCTGTTGCTAAGCAACGACTTTGACAGCTGTAGGAGACGCTCAAGCCATTTGAACGTTTTTACTTCTTACTTTGCCACAAACAGAAAATGGACACTTTTAAGATCACATTTGACCGACAGCCGATTTGGTCCGACTCTGAAGATGAGACGACACTAAATTCCCAAACTGTCATCACCACTGAGCAGCTTTTCAGTCGGCAGCTGAGACAGAAGAACAGCTGAACAACCTGGAATCAGCCAGAAATGAACCCAACACCATTCGCCAAACTAAATGGGCTGTAAGATGCTTTACAGACTGGCTGGAACAAAACAACATTAATACTGATCTGGCAAAAACTGACAAAACTGAGCTGAACCTGATATTGCGGCAGTTTTATGGCTCAGTCTGATTTGGTCAGACTCTGAAGATCAGACTACACGTTTGGTGAATGGTGTTGGGTTCATTTCTGGCTGATTCCAGGTTGTTTAGTTGTTCTTCTGTCACAGCTGCCGACTGAAAAGCTGCTCAGTGGTGATGACAGTTTGGGAACTTAGTGTAAGGAGCTGGAGAACGAACTGCCGGCTGTGCAGCGAGTGGGCGGAGCTCGTTACTCTGATGTAGCAACAAGTTGCTCGTTAAGGAACTATAATTTGGTGAAGGAACTGCGAACATTAAAACATATTAAACGCCGCGTTCACGGCCCAGTTTATTAATTTATTACTGTATTTATTTAACTGTTGACGCCTTCGGCTCATGCCTGCGAACAGATCATGGCTGTGATGTTATTTCACGATAACACACTCCCTCTCAGGTTCTAGTGCTTAAATGTCTAGTGTTATCATCATCATTAACTTTATACTCTTTCATGTAATGAGACAATTACAGAGTTACGTAACTAAATTACATGTAAATTTGATTAATGTTCTGTATGGTCAGTTTCAGGTCTTTTGGCTCTGACTTTCTTTGTTTCAGATGGTCACTCAGCAATTTGAGTTCAGGTGTCATGAATGTAGACTACTATCGGATAAAACAGTTTATGGACAAAGGTTTTCTGAATGTGTTAAAATGGTTGGAAAGCAGTTCTAATGATGAGGACAAACTAAATGCTTCTGACTTTGTAAAGTTCTTTGTACAAGAACGCCATATTTCTTTTTTTAAGCCTAAAAAAGTAAAACCATCTCTTGGTTTATGGCTAGATTTTGAATTAGGCTTAGAAAATTATTATTGCACATAGACACCTACGTAATTGGTCCTGTCGGAACAAAACCTCTCCAAAAACAGAAGGAAAAACATTCATGCAAGTTAATGAAACAAGATTCTGTTCTGTGTCGTTTTGCACAGTTTCTGTTGCCCCTTTTGTTATGAAATTTTGACACGTTGTAAAGGGCACCTGGTTTTTAAATCTCTAAAAAGAGACCAAAATTGTGATGAGGTTATGTTCTAACAGCACTGCATATACATATCGGAACAAAATCTTATATCTCCATTTTTCGAGAAAACCTCATATCTCCAATATGTATATTTACTGTAACATCTTTAGTTTTTATGTAGTCATGACCAGACTTAGAGTATTTTTGGTTTATTTCTATTATGGTACCCTTCTATCATGAATATATATAACACACAGCATATATCAATATATTGTCGGAAAAAACCTCGTAAAAATGACAAAAGGAGGAGGAGACAAGCTACTTTCTTCCTGACAGACAGCGATACCAGTACTGTTTTTTATTTTATTAATATTTAGATAATTTTGGGTTTATTACTTTATGGTACTTACATGAAATTTATATGTAAGTATATAATATTTAAGTGTGTGTCTTAAAGTTAAAATAGGTAACACATCCTCCACAGAGAACACACTTTTGCATATTTTAATGAACTATTTCTGATTATTTACTGAATTCAAAATATTGAGATTAAAAAAAAAACAAAACATAAAATGTGTCTAGTGCAAAAGTTTCGTGCAAAAATGTTTCCAATATGTTAGATTCGGCAAATAAACTGTAATTGTGCATTGAACTGTGCAGAACAATTCTATCAGTTTGTTCATCATGAAATGTTCAGACAAGCTGAAGAGCAGGTGTCATTTTCAAATTCCATATATATAAACGTTAATAAAGCGTTTGTCCTGACAGTGTTGATATGTAACAGACAGGAGAGCCCACCTCCTAACACTGTATAAAAATGAGTGTGTGTTGGTGATTAGAGAGTGTCTGCTGTGTGAATCTGATAGCGAGTTCAGAAATTCGGTTTCCAAAGTCAGAGGGAGAAGAAAGAGAATGAGAGAAGGCGAGACAGATGGAGGGATGAGAAGGGGGCGGGAGGGGGGGCAGGAAGAGTGAGAGAGAACGAAGAGAGCTCAGGTCGCCGTGGAAACGAGATATTGGGGATAGAGTGGCAGGTTTATTTGTAGAGGAGACAGAGAGACGGTGTGACAGACAGCGACATCACAGGAGATTCTCCTTCAACAGGACACACACACACACACACACACGACACCTCACACATCCTGCGTAACCTTCCCCTCTCAGCTCCTGCAGACTGGAGTGTGTTGTTTTAAACAGGCACACGTAAATGTAAACACACACTCTGGATGGTTGTACAAGCCCCTAAAAAGTCCAGACAGTGTGAGAGATTCTGATAAAAACAGTTTAATGAAAACAGCACAAAGACGAGGTTTAAGGCTTTACCTTTTAAATCTTACAGCGAGGTCTTAGAATCAGAGGGGCGTAAGTGACATTTCACAAATTTTACAGGAGAGCAAAAACAAGTTTCCGTCATATGTTGGGCATACCAAGTGGGCGTTGGTTGGATTTATTTAAAGCAGGCATTCATAGGATTCATTCAGAGTGGGCATTGGTTGGATTCATTTAGAGCGGGCGTTGGTTGGATTCATTTAGAGCGGGCGTTGGTTGGATTCATTTAGAGCGGGCATTGGTTGGATTCATTTAGAGCGGGCGTTGGTTGGATTCATTTAGAGCGGGCGTTGGTTGGATTCATTTACAGTGGGCATTCATAGGATTCATTCAGAGTGGGAATTGGTTGGATTCATTCAGAGTGGGCATTGGTTGGATTTATTCAGAGTGAGCATTGGTTGGATTCATTCAGAGTGGGCATTCATAGGATTCATTCAGAGTGGGAATTGGTTGGATTCATTCAGAGTGGGCATTGGTTTGATTTATTCAGAGTGGGCATTGGTTGGATTCATTCAGAGTGGGCATTCATAGGATTCGTTCAGAGTGGGCATTGGTTGGATTTATTAAAAGCAGGCATTGGTTGAATTCATTCAGAGTGGGCATTGGTTGGATTTGTTCAGAATAGGCATTCATAGGATTCATTCAGAGTAGGCATTGGTTGGATTCATTTAGAGTGGGCATTGGTTGGATTCATTTAGAGCGGGCATTGGTTGGATTCATTCAGAGTGGGCATTTATAGGATTTGTTCAGAGTGGGCATTTATAGGATTTGTTCAGAGTGAGCATTGGTTGGATTCGTTCAGAGTGGGCATTGGTTGGATTCATTAAAAGTGGGCATTGGTTGGATTCATTTAGAGTGGGCATTGGTTGGATTCATTTAGAGCGGGCATTGGTTGGATTCATTCAGAGTGGGCATTTATAGGATTTGTTCAGAGTGGGCATTGGTTGGATTCATTTAGAGTGGGCATTGGTTGGATTCATTCAGAGTGGGCATTTATAGGATTTATTCAGAGTGGGCATTGGTTGGATTCGTTCAGAGTGGGCATTGGTTGGATTCGTTCAGAGTGGGCATTGGTTGGATTTGTTCAGAGTGGGCATTGGTTGGATTTGTTCAGAGTGGGCATTGGTTGGATTCATTAAAAGTGGGCATTTATAGGATTCGTTCAGAGTGGGCATTGGTTGGATTCGTTCAGAGTGGGCATTGGTTGGATTCGTTCAGAGTGGGCATTGGTTGGATTCATTCAGAGTGGGCATTCATAGAATTCATTCAGAGTGGGCATTCATAGAATTCATTCAGAGTGGGCATTGGTGGGATTTATTAACAGTGGGCATTGGTGGGATTCGTTCAGAGTGGGCATTGGTTGGATTCATTCAGAGTGGGCATTGGTTGGATTCATCTAGAGTAGTTGAATTCATTTAGAGTGGCTCTGAAAACTTTCAGTCCGTACCACGTTTGTGTTTGTAAGTAGAAGAGGAGATATTTTCTTATCATTTGAATGTGATGGAGTGCATACAGTTTAGTTTTGCTTTACATTTTCTAGTCATTTTTTTCGTCATACTGGACGCAGATAAAGACTAGTTAAGGCTTGATCTCGTATCTCCATTATTTACAGTCCTTGAATGTCCATAATGTCCAGGTTAAATGTCATTTTTTTTTGATTGATCAAAGCATATGGCTAAAAGTGAGCTTTTATTGTATGTTATGTGGGGCTGCTGATTTTAAACCCCGCAATGGAGAATCCTAATTTGATTGTATATAATAAAAAATCTAAACGTAATGATTACTGATAGATGTTCATCCAGGGTACAACTATAAAACATTACAGACCAATCAGAACTAGTTGTGTTGTAATTTTCCTTAACATACTAATCTTTATTGTTGGACATTAACAGAATGTTCATTCATTCATTCATTCATTCATTCTTCATTCCAAACCTTGTCTGAATGCTGGATTAAGTAAATGAAAACTAAGATGATTTTGGACGTCAGTATAATGTGATAACCACACTCGTCCCTAATGCTGCGACACTGCAGCCAAAAAATAATTAAAATTGTTAAAACTGACACTTAAAATTGTGTCTGTGAAATGAAAAACAGTGACCGTTCACTGCCCTCTGAATATTTCAGCTTCCTTCTGTCAAACTGCCACTCTTTCTTTTTTCTTTACATCTCCCTCTCTCCCTCTCTCTCTCCCTCTCTCTCTCTCTCTCTCTCCCTTTCCCTCTCTCTCTCTCCCTCTCTCCCTCTCTCCCTCTCTCTCTGTCTCTCTGTCTCTCTCTCTCTCTCTCTCTCTCTCTCTTCTCTCTCTCTCTCTCTCTCTCTCTCTCTCTCTCTCTCTCTCTCTCCCCCCCCTCTCTCTCTCCTGCTGTTTTTAAGTTTAAGCCCACGAGGGCTCTTCAGCAAAACACATCTCAGAATTCATTTAGCAAATCAGCCTCCAGCAAAACATGTTCTAACACAGCAGCGGAATGGGGGCGGGGGGATAGTTGGGGCTGGGGGGGGTGGGTGGTGGGAGGGGGGTTCTGGAATGCTCTCTGAGTTTTCTTAAAACTTGGCCCATGTGTATTAAATTCTGCTAATTTTAAGAGAAAGAGATACAGATAATTGAAGGCTCATTACAGGCTGAGCGAGCAGTGATTTTTAACAATGAGCGTATTTACATGCACTCAATAATCCGATCATAATCTGATTTCTGCAGTTATCCAATTATTCAAATGGTCATGTAAACACCATACTCTGATCTAGAAATCTGATTAAGAAATCTGATAAAGAGGCTGGATTTTAGCTCGGTAATCAGATTTCTCAGTGCATGTAAACTCTTACTCTGATTTCTTTCGGATTTCTCAGACGGTGGATGTCGCGAGATGCAGCAAAACACTTTTGGAGCGGCGCTGAAACCAAACACACAGAGAAATCCGAAAGAAATCTGAGTAAGAGTCTACATGCGCAGAGAAATCTGATTACTGAGCTAAAATCCTGCCTCTTTATCGGATTTCTTAAACAGATTTCTAGACCTTACTCAGATCTGAGAAATCCGAGTGTTCTATTTACCATTTGAATAGTCAAGTAACTGCAAAAATCCAATTATGATCCGATTATTAAGTGCATATAAACACAGTCACTGTTACTGCACACATGACAATCACTTTTCCATCTTACAAAGTTAGTGTTGCTTCCAAACATTTTGTCTAGAGTGAAAAGAGCTTAGACTGATGTATTATTCTCTTTATTGTATTTTTAATTGTATTTGTATTTAATAAACACCTGTGTACCTGTCTGGTCTGTTCAGTATGTTACATGCCATGCATGTTTGCACTCAACATACTCAGTGAATCAGAAAGTGATTCAGATTCTGATGATCCACTGTTTTGTGCTTCATGTGCTGATCGTGTTCGTGGTCTTGTTTCCTGTCCAGCTCCGGCGTCTGATCAAAACGGAGCAAGGTGTGAGTCAAGCGGCTGACCTCTGCAGTTACCACGGCAACAAAGCCCTGGAAGCCATCCGCCTTTTCCCGCCGTCTAAGGCTCGATCAGCTCTGGAGAACATCGCCAGAGCCGTCATGAAATTGTGAAATCTCCAGCACTGGAACCCGAATATGGAACCAGAACTTTCACGTCGGGTTCAGCCGATCACCGCGTTTCAGACTTATCCAGGCTCCGCCCATAAAGGCGTTCTTTCATAGCTACTGTTAAGAGGTTGTACAAGCTTTACAGAACGTGATCAAAAACCTCATTCAACTTAATAAGAAACTGGAGCACACAACACGTTTCTGTCTTCATTAAACAATTAATAATTAATAGTAATGTTAACAAGTATGTGTAGTTTGTTGTATAATGGAGCTAACGTTAGCGTGGTGGCTCCCAACCTGCCTAGTTTCAGTTAGCTACAACACACACACACCAGCTCTTTAGTATAGAATTTTAAACTGGAGACTGAAAAGTTCATCAGACTTTAAATCTGATTATGTTTGATGGGATTTTTGTCAGCGTTCTGTAAACCTTAGTAACTGAGAAAGAACGCGAGAGGGTGAGCATGGATAGATCAGTTCTGAATTTTATACGTTGAACATTTTAAGATGTTTTAGGTGCAGTTTGGACTCATGAGACGGTTCATGTGAGATGAATGTGGAAATGCTAATAAGGATTCACTGTGATTTTTTGCACCATCATTCAGCTGCAGCTGAATCAAATGTGGCATCTGCAGTTAATATTTATGAAGATCATTAAGAAAGAGACACACAAACTCATCAGATAAATTCATCTGCAGATCATTGTGAAGTTTCTATGTGGTTCAAATTCACACTTTCCAACGACTGAAATACACGCTCCCTCTGTTTACAGACGGGTTTTGTTGTATGTGTACTCATTGAGTGCGTGTAGAATATCAGTGTGTGAAAGAGTGTTGTAGTTGTCCGGGGGTGTGTATGAGTGTGTAGTTGGCCTGGGTGATAAAACAATTGAAATGAAGCATTTCTCAGGATCAGTAATCAGCATTTCAGGTGTTTTTGCTGACAGTGATCACTGTGTTCGGTTCCTCAGTCCAGTATTAGCAGCTTAAACTTTGAACAGTTGTTCCTTCAGTGCACTGAGTAGTGATGTGCACCTTTTACTCTAGACAGGGAGAAGAAGTCTAGCCATTCACTCACAACAGAACAAACCAGCAAGATAGTTCGCTAGCTTTAGCTTTTTTCCGTGCAACGAGTTTGAGAACCATGGCCCAATCCCATTTCACCCCTTGCTCCTACTACTTGGTCCTCACCCCTCCGTTTGGCGTGTTCACGTCTGGGGGTAGGGTGTCCCTGATTTCTTTGAGATAGAGGGGTAGGGCGAAGTGTTGGGGCTACATGACACTCCAAACGGAGGTTTTTCAGAGACTCCAAATAGAGAGATATGAGAAAAAAAGAAAAAAACGGCAAGATGGCTGAACAAGAGACCAAAGAAACCCACAAATGTGAGAATTTTCTCCATTTAAAAATTATGATAACCACTGTATTATCATAGTTTATTGTCATTTCAGTGCATTATGCTCTTTTTCTTCATAACAAGCATAAAAAATTGCTAATAGTATGCTGATGTCTCGGAAGCTAGCTAGTTCATTTTCCCGTTCCAACATAAATGGTGCAGCAGTTACATTCTGGCACCTCAGGCATCAGAACTGCCGCGTGATTTAAGGTGGAATGGGAAATTTCGAACATGAAGTTGGCGAATAGCTGACTTCAGCTTTAAATGACCGTTCCAAGGGGCAACACTCGAAAACAAGGGGTAGGGGGAAAAAGTAGGAAATGGGATTGGGCCCATTGGGTCTCAGAACTGGCCAAAAAGGCTGCACTTCCTCTACAGTTGTTTGCTTTCTTGAAGCTTTTTTGTTTTGATGATTTTGAGGCCAAGGTTTGATTAGATTTTTGATATTTTATATTTAAAATGTCTTGAATTTGCAGTTGAATTCTATACTACACAGATTAGTTTAGTTCAGAAAAACAAAATAACTCTCCCCAAAAATTACAGCACCTAGAACAGTAGATACCCACCCTCCCCCTGAAGAAACATGTTTATTTTTACTTCATGTAATGTGATCTCTGTACACACGACTCGCATCTACATGCGTAGTTGGAGTTTTGGGGGGTCTTTTCAGCCGTGCTGACTTACATTACATCCATGTGCTAACGACAAGCTTATCTGTTGAACAGTGTTGATGAGCGCACCATCGCCCCCTACTGTGAGCTCCGCCTTCACGAGGCTTTGGACTGTTTTCCAAATGCACACTTAGTTGGTTCCCACTCTAATAAGTCTCCATCCCGACCCACATTTACCCCAAATTTGTAATGGTTTTAGCCGTGAGACTAAGGCTGAATCTCAAACGGCTCCTTCTTCACTACATAGTGCACTAAAAAGGTCTCGAAACTATGGCCTCTACACCCAAATAGTGCACTCAGTGTCAGATAGGGAGCCGTGCAGCTTATGGCTGATTATAAATGGCTTTCTACCAGACATATAATGCCAAATTTGGGTGTAGAAGCTGGTGTTTCATGACCTACAGAGCTGTGAAAAAGTATTTGCCCCACCCCCCCCATTTCTTCCCAATTTGTCACACTTGAATGTTTCAGATCATCAAACTACTTTTGATATTGGACAAAGATAACCAACCAAGCACATTTCTTGAAGGAAAAATGCTGTTCAGCCCTACCTGGCCCTGTGTGAAAAAGTACATGCCCCTTAACTACAAAATCAACCAGTACATATGCTGAATTGAAAAGTGCCCCCTTATTCCGCAAGTTTCAACCTGCGTCTAATACAATACAAAATTTAGCATCGCATATACTTATAAATACATGTAGCAATTATTGATATCGGTGTGGTACACTATGGGCTGCTTTCCCAGACATGGATTAGGACTAAACCGAAGCATCAATGGTGGTTCACCATTGGAACTTATTTTAGTGTTAATCTGGGTCTGGGAAACTGGCCAAAAGTTTGTAGACACCTGCTTTTCCAGCATTTCTTCTTAAATGAAGGGTTTTAATTGTGAGTTTGTGCTGCAGTAACAGCCTCTGTTCTTCTGGGAAGGCTTTACAGTAGATGTTGAACATTGCTGTAAGGATTTGATTGAGCATTAGTGAGGTCAGGTACTGATGTTGGATGGTCAGTTCTGGATGACTCCAGCTCATCCCAAAAAGTATTGGATGGAGCTCCATCACTCCAGAGAACACAGTTCCACTGCTCCACAGTCCAGTGCTGAGGGACTTTATACTGCCCTAGCTGATCTGCATGGTGACCGTAGGCTCATGTGGCTGCTCCAGAGCGGATTCTATTGGTCACTGCTTTTCTTATGGAGATTATACAAGCTGTGAGTCTAGCAATGGGTGAGTAAAGTAAAAAGTAAAGTGGCTGAGTTCATTCATTAGTAGGGCTGTCTGGATACTTTTGGCCATGTTGCTCAGTCCCAGTGTGTGCAGACGTGTGGGGGGGTGTGAGTGATGATTGTGTGGGAGTGCCTGTGTGTGTGTGTTGTGGGTGCCCAGGGCGTTCTTGCCGCAGCGCTGGCAGTAATAATTAATGAGCGCAGTGTGGGAGCAGGGCAGATGGGCAGGAAGTGCTCCGGTATCGATTAGCTCAGCCTGAGCAGTGGCGCCAGCCTGGGGGGCCTGCGGTTTCCCCGGCGACCGCACCGGGACGCTCGGGGTGTGAAGCGGTACGGAGGGGCGTGACGGTCACTGCCAGGTCCACTGAGCCACAAATACACACACAAACACTCCGAAACTGTCTCTCGCAACTGTACTGTATGTACTTTATTTATTGGTCCTACTAGGGAAATTCGTAATTTGCCTAGCTACGCCCAATGTGGGAGCAGCACAGCACCACCACCTGGGGCAGTGGGGGGGTTAGGTGTCTTGCCCAAGGGCACAACCAGGTATACCTGGTTGGTCATGGATTTGAACCTGCATTCTTCCAGTTGATGGCTCCCCTCTCCTACGCAAGGCTACCGACCACCCGTGCGTTCACTTTAAAGGGCCCATGTCCTGCATGTTTCCTGTATACATTTTTACCTGTGTTCCACTTATGATGTTTGTGTCATTTTATTTACCAAAAACAGCTGTAATTCATTTGTACATGACCAGTTTCCAGCCTCTCTTTACCCCTTAGAGTTAAACAGATTGTGCCTTTAAGAGTGTAAGTATGTAAATGAGCTCTGCTCTGATTGGCTGGCCTGTATTGCGCCTCATTCAAAAAGCAGCAAAGGCTGAAACGTTCCTTATAACTTTCAGCATAAATGAGTGAGTGGGACGGGCTAAACTGCTGTATACTGAGCACATGGATATCGCTGCTGTTGGATCAAAACCTAGTATCTCCATTTTTGTTGTTTTTCAGTTTTTGACATAATTCGAAAATACCTACTGTCCTTTACATTGTGTGTACATTTCAAGATGAATGGACCAAAAGAAACGGCCCAAAATTACTCAGAAAAAAGTCTGGTTCCACTGACTTACATTAAAAGTAGAGTATGTTTTTTCCTTCCCCTGTAAAGTTACCATTTTGGAGATAAAAGGTTTTGGTCCGACAGCTTATTTACTTTTCGTATATGAAGTGAACATTACGCTTTGAAACTGTGTTCACATACTACATCTAACTCATTTAAAAAGCAGCTAGGAAAATGTCCATGAAATGGACCCTTTAAAGTGATAGTTTTGAAAAAAAAAAATCCCAATTATACTGAATACACAACATGTTTTGTGTCTAAAGTTGCCATGAGGCTAATGTAGCTAACAAGTAATGGAAGCTTATGTACACCATTTAGCATCATGCTGACTGCATGCCTTAAACATTTTGACCATTTTTATACATAACAGTATGTCGTGCAGAACCACATAAGCAGGTAGAGATTATTAAAGGGGCCTAAACCCTCTGTAGTGCAGCACTGTATCCCTCAGCCTCATCGCTTTTGCAGATTTTATACTGTTTTCATGCTTTCGTTCATCAGTGTTCACTCACTACAATACCCAGCATGCATTACACCAATATCATACGGCCGTTGGGTATCCTGACTGCTAGCCTAGCCAGTGATCTGTAGGCTTATAAAGACAACCCAGCTAGCATTAGTGTAACTCTTACTTTGGCTGTCGAACAAAATCATAAAGAAAACAGTGATTCTACCTTTACGGCACAAAATATACACTAGAGACTTTTTTCAGTCAGAGAAAAGAAGCCAAACTGAGGTAAGGTATCTCGATCATAGATATGCATGCCTAGATGCCGTGTTGGGTCCAGCCAGGCACGTCAACAGCGCTGCCATTTTAAGGTGGTCAGCATCGCTGCTGGACTGCATTCAGTACCATTACAGAGCGGCAGTTTCAGAAAGATACCGTCCTGCTCATCATTATTGGCACCCATGAAGTTTAAGTACATATTGTGGAATATCCCCTGAAAAAAAAAAAATCGCAAATGATAATCACCTGTGACAAATTCAGTGCCCATGTGACATGAATTAGCCAATGAATGATGACTTCACGGTCTTAAAAAGCCATACGTTGGGTCGTGTTCATTTGTTACCATGGTGAAGACAAAGGAGCTGTCTGAGGACATCAGAAGTGCTATTATTAGCAAACACAAGACTTCCAAAGGGTATAAGGCCATCTCCAAAGACCTTGGTATCCCAGTTTCAACAGTGCGCAATGTTATTAAGAAGTTTGCCAAGCATGGAACTGTCAAGAACCTCCCTGGACGTGGGGGAAAGAGGAAAATTGACAAGAGAAGTCTTCGAAGGTTGGTGCGAATGGTGGAAAAAACACCAAGGCAAACATCCAAAGAACTGAAGGCCAACCTGGAACAGTCTGGGGTCATGGTTTC